CACTCTATTCAGCTACCCAGCACCCTATGTGAGTTTGCATCCTTCTTAGAGGAGGGAGGACCTTGTTCATTAATGTACACAAAGGCACTCCATGGTCATGTAGGCCTCAATGTCTATGAAATTTCCATGTGATAGTTTTTTCCCTTGTAGAAAACAAGTTGGATTGACAGCATAATTTTTGTCTTGCTCTTAAGCAAAGTACCATAAAGATCCATATGCTCCTTCCCTTGGGAAAGGCAGTCTCATGTGCACAGTCTTTGGATCGCCTCTTGGCATTATAGATATCTTCCACATCTACTCCCCAATTTTCATGATATTTGCCTTGGCCCTGGAACACTCCCTTATCAAGAGATAAAGAGTCCTCACAGCCTGTGCTGGACTTGGTACCTTGTGTGAGTATCTTTCCCTATTTCAAACTCAGTGTGTACTCTTTTGTTCTGCTTAAGTGTGTGTGTCATGTGGCACCGCCAATCTCCTTGCAGGGAGGATACAGGTCCTTCTGCTGCAGCACAAGAGGGGTGTGTGCAGGCCAGTGGCCCTGCATTGGCTGTAGGAGGGACCCTCTAGCTCTGCAGAACCAACACCCACTACTGACACTAATCTGGCTCTGTCTCTACGTGAGTAAAGTATCGTTCCATCTAGTGCTTGACCATTGTGGTTTCCTTGGCGACCCTGATGCTAGGGCTATAGTAGACAGAAGGGCTTGAACTTCTCTTGATAAACAGGTAGGATGTCACTTGCTCAATACCTTCCTAGATAGATTATAGATCTGCAACAAGGGAGAGACTATATAACGTTGGCAGATTTCCTAACATACATCCCTCTTTGTCCAAATGTTAGGCTACTTGCTTGCTGTGTAAATTTTTTTATTAAAGAATGTAAAAACTTTCAGTGTCTTAAACGAAATGAGAGCTATGATTGAATGTTCCCCTAGGCTGACAATTTCTGCCCTATGAGAAGGTTTTAAAAGAGGTCAGCAAACCTTCTCCATTGGATTGGCAGTCTGCCAGGAGCTGGTTGCAAAGTCGAGGCACCCCCTCTGCCATCCGGCCTCGCTACCAAAGGAGCAGCCCTGGCTCAGAGCCTGGGGCTACTGGCCAGTTGAAGAATCCCACCTTCAGCTGGAGGGCAGGGCGGGATGGTGAGTCTATCCTGATCTTGCTTAGCTTTGCCTCTTAGTGGGAATAAAGTGGCAGTTAAACTCCCAGTAGTTTGAAGTGTTCATCTTGTAGAGACAAAAAGGAACTGAAGGAAGGCCAGGACCAGTACAAGAAGGCATCCCAAAGTTCTTTCTTTTTTTTTTTTTTTTTTT